CTGTCTGAGCGAGAAGATGATGGTATAGAGATGAGTTCTGTGTTGAAGGAGGTAATGGAGTGCTTTTGGTCTTGTCAAAACGTGGCCTGGGACTGTCACTTGATTGTTACTAATGTTATTTGCCTGTATTTTGTACTAGGTATCTGATCAACATGGCAAGATGACCAAAGCCATCGGACAGACTCTCCCTGTAAATATCACTCCAACAACGACACTGCCAACACCTCCAATGACAAGCAAACCTATACAAAAACCACCTATACAAAAACCACCTGTATCAAAACCACCTGTATCAAAACCACCTGTACCAAAATCACCTAGACAAAAACCACCTATATCGAAACGAGCTCAGCCAACACGACGAAAATCAACAAACAAACGAGGTGTGGATACTGATGATGATAGTGATGATGGTGATTTCCAATCGCCGCCAAAGAAGCTTCCTAAAAGAGCACCATCACGTAAAGCAGCGAAGAAGAGACAATTACCAAGTAGTGATGACGACGACAAATCAGTCAAAGAAAAGAAAGGCAGCAAGAAGCGTCGAATAGATGATGATTATAAAGACGACTTTGACGTACTCATGGTTGCTGCTCCCGTCAATGGTGGTTTGAGTGACGATGATGGATTTGACATGATGGAAGATGAAGAACCTGCTGGATCAGGAAGTGAAGAAGAATATATGCCCGTTGCTGCTGTTACTACTAGATCAGCTGCTGATGGGAAGGGACGTACTAGATGGATGATTTGTCGAATCTGGAGTGTGATTCTTGCAAGAGGTCATTCGAAGCTGGATTCTTGGCTGATGTGGTGGTGAATGAGCGGAATGGAGAATGTCTCAAGTTGTGTGGAGAGTGTGTTGAGCGATTTGGTCGGGTGCTATGCCACTGTAAAGCTTGTCTTTGTGAGTATTTGTTTTTTTTTGTGAGGTGGAAGGCTTATCGCTAATTATTTTCATACGACACGTAGATATTCCTACACCAAAGGAGAAGAAATCAAAACGATGTGCTAGGCCAAGTTGTGGTGGTCCTGAATATTTTCAACAATTTTTTTTGGCTCATGCATTCTATTGGGATTATAGTCCCGCAAATTTACGATTATATTTGCACGTTTGGATATTTCCTTGTCACTCCATCTGGGTGAGCTCAGTAATATTTGATAATCCTCAACATTTTTCTGCACTACAACAATTGTGATGATAGCGCGACATGCTCCAACTGCTTATACGGTCGGTTAAGTGGTGATGTGAGTCTACGATTCAATTCCGTAGGGCGTTAACGGTATGCGAGGGAAGTACTGCTTACCCTTGGCCAAACGTTAATTAATAAGGGCACCTACTCCTCTCACATGACGTGATGTGGTTGCTAAGCGTTTACGTCCGGTCCGGAGTCGAACTCCTCAAAACCGGGGCAGGTTTCGACCTAAGCAGTGGCAGTGTAATTTTTAAAAAAAAACAGTTCGACAGTTCTGCTATGCAGAAAAGTTAATATGCTTGCTGTACTTGTTCATCACTATATTTCAGCTAAACAACTACTGCTACCATACAAAACATACTTATTAGAGACGAGGCTGCTCCTTCCTGATCTTCATCATAGTTGGCTGAACGAGCTTTGCCACGAATTCAGGATAGTTCTTATACTTTAGAACACCCTCGGCGCGTTCTGCGTGGGATACAAACGGAGGTACACCTTCTGAATGGAAGGCTGCTACGTTACGTTCATGCCACCTTAAAGCTGACTTCCTAACCGAGCTAGTATACTCTTCAAAAGCAGCTTCTCGGCTCTCCTTACTGCCTATCAGAGTCTTTAGTGCATTACAATCCATAGTCAGCAGCAGATTAAAGCCAGATCCAGATTGAAACGTCTGAAAAAACCTCGTGAGTGTCTCATAATAAAGTGCCAATGACATTCCAACTTACGCCAGTCCTAAAACAATCACCAAACATGACCATGTTTTTCCCAGCTGTGGCCGTAGATAGCAATGTATCTCGAACATGTATCGGCGTAGTGATTTCTCCAAGTCGCACTGTTTCAGCAACACCATCTCCAAACATTGTCCTCAGAAAACTCTTGACTTCTTGAGCGGCGTATTGTTCAATCACTTTACTACGTGATCCGGACTTCCACGATAAGGTGACATCTGCGGGTGCGCCGTCCCATACAGGTGTATCGATTAGCATTTCAGGTCGCAGTTTTACCCAGATGGCTTGATCTGGTTCGGTGTTGCGCGAAGGAGCTCCTGCAACTGTTTACAGCGTAAGAGATGAGTTGAGAAAGTGGTTGTGTGCTCCGTAAAACAATAGACAAGCAGTTCCTACCGGGTGCAAACGAAAAGTCTGCTTGGCCGTATGTCTTCATATAGATGCCCGACGGCATTATCCTTAAACGTTCTTCGGGGCTCGGGAAATACACGTTGACACATACAAAGTATCTAGAAAATTCAAAGAATCGATCACAAATGAGTTCTGCACAGGGGTCAATTACCATGCATGCTGCAACGCATCGTAATACTGCTTCACACTTACACAGCTCGTGGCGCCTTTGGCAAGATCTCAACACCATGACGCGGTCCTAACACCTGCTTGACAAACTTTCGATTTGCACCTTCACAGTTTATAACCAGGTCTGGAATGCCAAGCGATACTCGTTCGCCCATAGCAGCAGTATAACAGACCTCATACTTCTCAACGTCTCGATGCCAAACGAGATCGATAATGACTCCTCGCATGACGTTCACACCTCGTTCAGTAGCAGCATCCAACATGGCGCGTTCCGTGTCTCCTATCGTCGTAGTATTTACGTTTCGCGCATGTGTTCCGTCATCGAGTACTTGATCAGTCTGAGCAAAGGATTGAAGGGAATGAGTATGCTGTTGTGCAGTAGATAACCTCTCCCGTACCGTAACATTAGCCAAATCACCAGGATATTCACCAGGCTGCTCTCCATAAGCAATCGACAAGTTCTTGCCCGTCTTCCAATCGTCCCAATGCATCATGATGTGCCCATGTCGTGGCGATATCTGGTTTCTAGCCTCCATTTTTTGTATGACACCCCACTTGCGTAGACGTGCACTTGAGCATGCCATCAATGAGATTTCCTAATTGTTTGTGCAGATGGTTACAATACGATTCGAGTTCCATTTGAATGAAAAAATCAGTGATAAGATGCAGATACTCGCAAACATGGAGGCCAATCGAGTTCAACAAAGCGGAAATGGAATCTCAAGATTGGCAAGAAATGCCTCGTTTACCTGTGGTCTTCGTTGCCATTCTGGCCTCTTCTCCAGCACAACAAAGTCCGACGCTTTGTAGCCAGCATCGAGTAACGAGTTTGCCGCAATAAGACCTGCTGGTCCTGACCCAATAACGATAGCCTTGAGAGTCATGTTTTGCTGTAGTGTTCGGACGGTCTTTTGACGTGTTTTTTGCAAGTGGCGGCCAAACGTGGGGATTTGGGGAGGTGCGTGCGTGACCACAAAGTCGACACACGAAAACGACGGCATAACTCGAATTTTCATTGGAACTGAATAAAGGAGGTGAGTAAGCGACAACGATTTATTTTGCTTGCTTGATGCTTGAATATTGATTGCCTGCTAGCTTCCACCGTTGAGAGGTCTCACAATTCTAACATCGTATAGGCTTTGTTACAACTCCAAACTCCTTTGTCAATTGAAATTTCACAATCTCTCTACTACCATTCTGCTTCTAAAATGGGTAGCTGGGAAAAGTTTCCGTACGTCCATAGTCTTCCATCATCGCTTCCCACCTCAAACCACTTGAATGTTGATCAAACACGTGCAATTGATGTAGGAAGCTTATTAACGGTGGAAGTCATCCTGGGGGGCCAATGTTTGATTTCCATGTAGAATATCCTTACTTCCAACGAATGGCTTCATTCCTTGACCTGTTTTCCTTACGTAGGTGTACTGGACTTACAAGGACGACGCGAGGTATGTTTCATCATGGATTCTCAGGCCTTTGTATGCCTGTAACTGAGCAGATTTGAATTGTTTCGTCTTGGATACAAGCCGCGTGAGCACAACATGTTCGTTTCGCTAACCTCTCAGTCAACTTTCAAACTAGCAAAAAGTCCGCCATGGCATTGAGGGACGCTTGCCGTGCTCACTTTCCTGGTGTCTGGATTAGTGGAGAGGAAATTGATCGTGTTATTGGTCCTCACGCGGAGCCATTTTTTGGTATGCTTCTTCTTCTGGTTATATAAATGTTACTGACTCGTTCCTTAAATACACTCAGAGGTGAATGCCCGAAGCCCTCTTGAGCTCGGTGCGCTCATTGCGTGGTTCATGTGCAATCGAGGAGAGCATTCTGTCTTTGTACATCCAAACACTGGTATGTTGGTTGGCAACCACACGCCGTTTCTGAAGGCACCATTCCAGTTGGCTCTGCTCAAAATCTCACATCCACTCCATCTTTCGACCCAGGAAACCAAGTAGCAGAACACAAACTCGGCATCTGGATAGGCAAACCCATCAAACTCGACTTTGATTACCTGGCTCTTCAACAGTCGTATGAGGACAAGGGAATGACATTCAACGAGGCCGTCTATCACTCTGAGACGGATTTGGGTCGTACTGATAATGCGAAGTTGGCGGCAATGTTGGTCAAGATGCAACAGAAGAATAAGGAGAAGAAGACTGCTGCTGCCGCCGGTGCAGCTGCTTCTGGACCTGCATCCAAGTTGTAAAAGGGGGTGTTTGTGAATTTGTATGTGGCGTAGGGTTTGTAGTTTGTAAAATCGAATATGAAAATGGTTTTGAATTTTGAAGGATGGCGTATTGAATTTTGAAGTATTGATGACCGACATACAGCGCGCCGATGAAAAAAATTCGTTCAGTACTAATCGCGAGGTTTTCTTATGAGTAACACATCTTGGATCCTGAAATACATTGGCCGCAAACCATCTTAGCGATCCGACAACCCTTCGTTACAGCATTATTGCTCGTCGATTTGATTCCTTACATGTTTTAAAAGAATTGTGTTACTCCTGATTACAAACGCGAAGTATTGAACTACCCTGTTTCAAAGCTTCAAAACGAAACGTTATGTGAAAACAGTCAAATCAAAGAAGCAGGACCGGGTCAAATCCAAGATCTATAGTTCGGTGAAGATAACTCGCATTTCGTTTCTGGATGCCACTAGCCAATACTACTTCATAGACGCGGCTGCGTGCCGCACAAATTGAACCTGATTCTCAAAGTACAGTCTTGTCTTAAACGAAGAAGATACACTGAAAACCCCCCATCCTTCTTATTAGACAGCATTATGTATTCAAGCCATTTAAACTAATTACTAGACTCACTTCGTTGTATCGCACTTTAAACTACATTTATTGTTACAATCGGGGCTGACTACTCCTCTTCTTATTCCTCATCGCAGGCTTTACAACACCCTCCACGAAAGCATCATAATTATTAAAATGCCGTGGCCCATCATACTGCTCTGCATATGGCACAAACGGTGGGACACCAGGCGTATAAAATTGCATGCGATTACGACGATGCCAGCCTTCAGCATTCTTCTTCAGCGCTAAATGATACTGCTCAAAAGCTTGAGCGGACACATTATTTGGCAGATGAGAGAGCAGTACTTTGAGAGCATTGGTATCAACAGTGAGTAGTATGTTAAGGCCAGATCCAGACTCAAAGGTACCCGTCCGAGCAGAATCACCAAAGCAAACGATATTCGTCCCAGCATATGTCTTGCTCAAAATCGTATCTCGCACTTGGATAGGCCGAGTCATAGCACCAAGACTAAAGTTTACAGGCAAGTCCTTACTAAACAGCGTTTCCAAGAAATCACGGATTTGGGTGGTAGCAAAGTCCTCTATTACTTTCGACCTGGGCCCTTCACTCCAGTCTAGCGTCGAATCTGCAGGCGCTCCCTTCCATAGATTGGAGCCTTGAATCATATCTGGACGTAGCTTTACCCATATCGGTTGCTCAGCTTCTGGTTTCTTGGGGACTGGTAGCATGAGCAAATCAGAATTGAGTTTTTTGAAGTAGAGGCCAGGGGGTACGGCCTTCATTCGGTCATCGTCGGTTGGAAATACAATGTTGACATATACATAGTACCTAGAATGTACTGTGAGTGAAATAAGACTGCTTGCAAACGTAATAGTATCTTACGCGGATAAAGGACTCTCAGGAGTGATTTTGATACCGTGGCGAGGTATCAACTCCTGATTCACAAGCTTTCGACTTGCACCTTCACAGTTTATAACCAAATCCGGAATTCCAGCACTGATTCGCTCACCACTCCCTGTCGTGTAACAAACTTCATACTTCTCAGTTTCTTTATGCCATACTAGATCCGTGGTAACTCCTCGAACGATTTTCACACCACGTTCCAGCACAATATCCAGCATGATACGTTCGACATCACCGATTGTGGAATAGTTGATGTTGCGGAGATACATGTTGTCATCTAGCACCTGTTTACGAAATGTCGTGTGAGTTATCAAACTGTGTCAGCTTACTACAAGGACTCGAACCACTAGCCTGGTCAATAGTCAACGTATGCAAATCTCCAGTAAACTCCCCTTCAGTCTCAGCCCACGAGACATTCACCTTGGCATCACTTTTATGATCTTGCCATAACCACGATACACGTCCACCACGCGCAGAAACCTGTTTATATTGTACATGTTAACACCTCGAGTACCGCTAAATCGTGTTTCTTACCCCAGCTTCCATCTTCTGCAGCACATTCCAACGACGAAGAGATGCTGAAGCTGCAGCCAGTACACCAATTACTTGAGGTCTATGAGCGAAAACTGGTCGGTTTTCGAGCAAGATAAAGTCGTTTGGTGAGGTGTTTTGGTCCAGTAAACTGAGAGCTGACACCAGTCCAGCTGGACCACAACCGATTATTACGACTTTCATGAGAGATTGATTGCGATCAGAGGTGAAAGATGGGGGGCAGATGTGTTATTGAGGTTGTACTTCTGAGCCTCACACGAGATGTCCTTTGTTTCTCGCTGGAAATTCAATAGTCTGGTGTTGATATCGTGTGAAATGAGAGCGTTTGGTCCTGTAAATGACGACTCTGGGTGGCTGTTGACGCGTAAAGGCCTAAACTGAATGTAATGTTAAACACAAGGCTGTTTTGCGAATTGTTCATGTACAAGTAAACGAAAAGATTACGAATCAACAACAATAGCTACACGTTACGTATATATTGGTTGCCCCGTACCTCTGCTTTAGTTAGTCGTGACCACTTCAATTCCACTTCACACGGAACTTGACGTAACAGGTTTTGACAATAGCGTGAAAGAGACAACGATGGCAGCAGCACAAGCATCTCAATCGATGTTCCAAAAGTTCTTGAATCATCCAGCAGGTACCTCTAGTCCTTATAACACCAAAGCTTCAAACTTTCTAACAACCTTGTTCTTCGTTTCGACCAATAGGACCCAAGACGGTTCATTTCTGGGTATGTGACCTTTGAATAGGAGATCCGCTAATCGTGTTTGAACTAATTTCTTCTCTTGTAATAGGCTCCTGCTATGAAATGGGTATGTTTTATGGACGACATTAAACGACAATTTACTCGAGGTTTTGACATATTTGTTTGCTCATATTATTACAGAGTCTCGTTATCGCTGCTTTGGGTGACTTGAAAAGGCCACCGGAAAAGCTATCACTTACTCAAACTGTTGGTATGTGTTGACTTTTGACACAAACTTGTCAAGATCTCTCGTGTACTTGCATGCCCTAACATCCCGTACTCTACTCCCTCACTCACACATTTGATGTACTCGTTCCCTCACATTAGCATTGGCTGCTACTGGATGTATTTGGGCAAGATATTCGCTAGTGATAATACCCGTCAACTATCAGCTATTTGCTGTGAATATCTTTGTTGGTGCGACTGGCTTGTACCAACTGTACAGAATATACGAGTAAGATATGTTTGTTTGGTTGAGATGACGAAGGTTGACAAAACTTGGCTGACACGTTTCTCTAACCTTCCAGCTATCGAAGCAAGCTCCCACAACCAGCTGCTGCTGCAGTATTAGAGGCAAAGTAATTGAACCATGTTCTCTCTTACTCTCTCATTTTGAATATATTGTCCTGTTTGAGTTATATACAAGTGTTTGACAGTCTATGGTTTCTTGCAAGACGATGGCTATACAATATTTACAGGGTTACAGCATGACAACCAATGGTCAAATCTACGCTTATCAAACACCTGGGGCTTTACCAGCTGATCCATTTCCCTTCCCTGGATTCGGTTTAGGTATGACTGGTGGGTCATTTGGACTTGCTGAAGGATCAGGAGATGGCTGCACGGCGTCAGCTGACAGTGCTGCCGGTGGAGGCAGAGGAGCAGGACTAGGGCGTGCAGCAGAAGGGGCCAGATTGGTTACAGGCACTCGGGAAGCTGTGGGTTGCTTGACTGCCACTGTGCGAGATGGACTGACGTATGTCGGTGACGGGATAACACCTGGTGCACCAGAAGGGAAATTGGATACTTGAGGTACTCGAGAAGGTGTGATTCGGTTGACGATGATAGTGGGAGATGGGACGATGCGTGAAGGTGATGCGATTACTGTATCGATTGGTACAAAGTCCGTGCTATTGAAAGGAGATGTTAGCACTGTAAAGATTGTTAAATCATGCGATAGCGGGTGTCGCAAACCTCTCAAAGACCAAGTTCCACCACCACCAGAAAATGCCACCGCCCAAGAACCGCCTTTTCAATACAGGCCTTCAGAGATAATAGTCAGATATCACCATACGAGGTGTAGATGTAATTTAGCGTACTTACGTTTCATCGTCACCAACGGCACTAACATATGCATCCACTGGGCAGTCCAAATCACGAGCTCGACTCTCATCCACAGCATTAGTGCAGGAACACTCCTAGAAGTTGAATCAGCGATGTTTGGCATAAATAAAATAAGGTATGCCGTTTACCTGGTTGTCGGGACAATCTCCCTATTTTGATGAAATGAGTGAGATGGTATGCTTGGTTGATGAAGGAGTCAAAACGCTGACATACCACTTCTGTGCAAGGCACGTCTATATGAGAACCATTGTCTAGGATGACCGACACTCCGTTGCTGGTCGAGTTTGGTAGTCGCGCCTACATTCAAGCAGTCAGATTCTCAGTTTGCGTCAATTTGTCAAACCTTGCAAACACTGTAAACTAACATCACAGGCATTGAGGGGAAGAGCATGTATGCGGCTGCATACGAATACGAGACTTAGAATGATCGCGGTTGTACTTGTAGCCTTCATTTTGGCAAAAGATGTTCTTATAAATGGGTGGTGAATTCTTGAAAAAGCAGATGTTGCTTGAGAGGTCTCTTGATTGACACGTGTTCTCGAATGGACGATTTCAAGACGCAAAAGAATTTACAGACGGTTACAAAAATCGTTTATATTTCGTCAATTTCAGACTTTATGAGATAACTATGCCTTCATCAAACAATATCCACTTGCACACATTTCTTTTCTACTTGGTCTCATCGAAGGTGCTATCATCGTAAATCCAAGACAAGAATATAGCGGTGTAAATCAAGTCTCCAGCCAGAGTAGTCAAAACCGAGTCTGGAACACGTTTGTTATACCAAGCATCGGTCATCAATGCAACGACAGTCAATTTGCCAATAACACCCAAACACAAGAAGCCTGTACTTTCCCTCTTCCTTGGATTTGCTGCTGCATACGCGTATGCACCACCTACACAACAAATAGCAAGTGCGGCGTAAGATGTCGGAATGTATTGAAAAGTCAAAGGCGATGGGAGTATCAAAAAACCATACCAAAGAGCATGATAAAGCATCCAGCCATACGTGGCATCAAGTATGTGATCTCGGGAGCAGTAAGAATACTCGCTGCGCCTAAAAGACCTTTCATAGTTTCCTTGGTGTTGAATACGAGGGGAAATCCGGCGACTACATTGAATGCAGCGGCTGAATACAAAATTGGGCCTAATGGGAATTGAAGTAAGCATTGAAACACAAAAGAATGAACTGAAACGGACTTGCCAATGTTTCGTTTGATGAATGGAGGTGCCATGGTTTATAAAAACTTTAAGATTTGGGATGTAAGCTTGATGTAGGCTTGATGAGAGTCTTCTGACTGTTCAGTAGTGAGGTCTGTAGAGTAAAGGAGCAGGTATTCTTTGGTTTCAATGTAAGATTTTCTTCGCGAGGTGGTTTGAGAGTTGAAAGCTGAAAGCTAGTCTAAATGTGAATGAAGGTGTTAAGCCGAGAAAAGCATCGGACAAAATCCGAATTTCAAGGTTGAAATCCTTCATAGTACGTGATCATAATTCTTTAATATCTGTTTCGAGATCTAAGTCGCCACAAGCATATGTAACGATACTGTCAGTTGTAGATGTAAAGATGTGATCTCCTCATCGCGATGTTTTTAAGACCGTTTGAGAGGCTTCAAGTGGCATCTAGACATGATAAATGGAATTTTATACGCGATGTGTGCTTCTTTGCGTAGTTGCCATGGCGAAGTGATGTGCTTTGAACGTGGCGCACCGCAATAACAAAATCTTGCTTTTTGCGATCCGCCATACTTGAACACGTCTGTTTGTCTACAAGATCCCATTGCTGAGCGTGTCTGTTCTCTTGGCAACCATATAAACACCGCCCATAGCAAGAGAAAGACCAATTTCAACAAGCTTGATCCAATCACACATTCATTGCAGCCACATCACTTTATAGAGTCGGTGGCAAAAACAAATAGAACTGCTAAGGACAAGATGGTGCACATTAGCAGTATAGCAGTCGGTTTTGTTGCGCTATGTTCTCTGGTTTCGGCAGACATTGTCAGGTAAGAAAGATTGTTGATCGTTGGGATCTTGATTGAGATTGTGGTGGTGGACTTGGGAATCGTTTGGTTTGCTCGAGGAAGCAGGCATATGCTAGACGAACTCAATACTGTGATGTTCCCGTTTTGTCCCCTCTGATTCAATCACTCAGAAGGCTTGCGGTTGATACATCTTGGCAAAATGTTATGAGAATGAAACTTTGCGGTTTTCGCATTGTGTGCTGGAGGAAACACTACAAATACTAGGCTGCTAGTATTGAAATGCTCCTGGCTGGTCTGCTTCGACAGCCACTGGAAACGCTAACTTCTTTTCTTCGATTACAGGATTCCAACGAAATTATCATACAGGACGGCATCCGCACCAAACCTTGGAGCATCAGTAAAGCTAGCCGTCGCTGCTGATGAGGGGCTTAAATATTCGGGTGGTGAGTTCATATCGAACGTCCGGGCTTTTGATCTTCAAAGCTGAATTGTCCTCAACCGTTACAACCGATACTGTCGCAAACGAGACGAAGAACTAATGCCAAATATGATCTTTCTACAGCTCTTGTTGGAACCGTGAGCTTGGGTACTCCTGCTCAAACTTTTGGAGTCATTGTAAGTTTTGGTTCCCAGTTTCGTTGTTTGTCTTGGCGCTACAGTTACCGACTCAATCGATGCAGTTCAGGACGTCTTTTCATTTATGCATCTATTATGATCATGCAACTCACCATTACTTCAATTTATAGCTTGATACAGGGTTGGTTGCTGTTGTATGACCCTCGATCCCGATATGTTGATCAACGAGCTGAACTTTTCCCCTCTAGATCGCAAACATTCTGGGTCAGAGGATACAATTGTGTTCGATCAGCTTCATGTTTGGCTACCGACACTGGATTCAATCCTACCAAATCAACAACCTACGTTGCTGGTTCGGCCGTATCATTTGAATTGGGTCCCTACGGGTAAGTGTTTTAGATGATTTCGCCATCACAATATATCTTCAATTCATCGTTTGATACCTATGTCTCATTTAGTGATGGATTGGATGCATTTGGTAAGAATCGGTTGGCAGGATGGATGGATTCGGTCTGGAGTCAAACACGATGACGTGTCACATGTGTTTTCATCAATCGCGTTAAATGGTGACAGCGCAACGTATTGATCATCTTCTTGATATACCCAGGTCTTGGAGGAATAGATACTATGGTTATGGCTGGTATTTCAGTCGCCAAGTCGCCATTCTACTATGCTACAAATATTACAGTTGGCTCCAGTTCATTGGGTGCTGATGGTAAGCATTCACCATCCATTGCCGTATGATCATAGAAGCCATATTGTCATGAAAATTGACTGGTTTGATCCATCCTTCTAGGTATCATGGGCATCCCCGCTGCCAATTTGGCCAATTCCTCATTTGATCAACAATATGTTCCAGGCACTTTGGCAGCTGCAGGTGCTCTGACATCAAACGTAAGTGGAATCGGTTCATCACAATACTCGCTGAAGTACTCTAACTCATGCTCTATCATCGATATTAGATTTGGGGCTTTTGGTATGTTATAAGCCAACACTATGTATGAAAGTTGTCCGTTTTAACAGTTCGATTATCTTCTGTTCATCAGGTATAACAACTCCCAAACCACCGTGGGAACCAATTACCTTGATGGGCAATTAAGTTTGGGTGGAATCGACACCGCTTTATATACGGGCTCAATCAGTTGGGCCCCATTATTGTGGCAACCTAGCACCCTTCCAGCAGCCCTCATTTCGTTATCAGCTTACTGGTGAGTAACACATGTCTCGGCAGTGTCCTGACGCACAACCATCTACTTTTCTAAAATCGGAAATTCCTTTAATAGGTTTGTTTCATTGACAAGCATAACAGTTGGTAGCAGTGGAAATGTATTGTCAACTACAACTGCCCCAGCATATGCTGGTCAAAAGTCCAGTTCCGGTTTCGCCATCAATGGTGCTGGTGAAATTCCATTCTTGGTTGACACTGGAACCACTTTAACCATCTTGCCAACTGGTGTTGTTGCTGCTATTGCATCAGCACTCAAGGCTAAAACATACGCTGGTGCTGGTACCACTGGCGTGTATGGACCAAATTGTAATTCATTGGCGTTTACCTCGTAAGTGAATTGCATTAGAACATGTGAAGGTTATGAGCATCCTATTTACTATATTTTGTTGCTTTGCCGTATTTGCCTAATTGTTTGTGAATACTAACTCATTCTCGATGATATAGATATCCAAATATTACATTCACATTGGGAGGACAAACACTAACCGTGCCTCCAACTGGATGTAAGTTTGCGTTCTCTCGTCCGAGTTTGGTTTTCCTGAATGTCACCAAAACGATGCTTTTGAGGAGTTTGTTTATCTTTGCGTAATTATCATCATGATCGTGTAACTAATCACCACTCCAGATACCATCCCCGATAGCAATAACAACTACTGTAATGGATTCTTCATCTTCCAAGGAAGTGCCAGTGCCCCATTGAATGGCGGTATCTTGGGTAACTTACAACAGAGTAACTACTACAACCTCTTTGATTGGTGAGTTACACTGTTGACCCGATCGCATTGAACGTATTGTATTTGTTGACTTCAATTGTTCTTTCTAAAGGTCTGGCCGTCAAATTGGGTTTGCAACTCCCTCGGTGACCGGAGCTGGGTCTGGAACCTCGTTTAGCAATAGTACAACATCACCTGGTATGTGCTGGACTGTGGTTTTACCACGACAGAATCATATGAGATTGATGGTAACATGTTTGTCTTTCTAAATAGGTACTGGCAGTGGCACTGGTACTGGTACTACGACCGGCTCGACCAAGTCTTCAGCTCCAGTGAGAAAGAGTTCTGGCACTGTGATGGCAGCCTTGGCCTTGGCTGCCGTGTCCGTCCTCTTCTTGTAGAAAGAAAAAAAGCCCTATAAGTTTTGAGATATTGTTATGGGCATCAGTTTGGAAAAATATAAAAGTCTCCTCATCACTATCATTACATGTGGGCTTGAACGCTCATAGTTGGCTGATCTGTTATATTAGGCACCAAACAAATATTACACCTCTACAGTTCCATCACAAGCTTTTCTCCACTAACAGTCTTGAATCCGTCCAATGCTTTCTGGATTCCGGCAAGACCACCTTCAACGAGTTTAATCTTTGGACTTGGTACAAATTGTCCGGATGCGAGCTTCTCCTTCAACCAGACACCAAATATGAACTGGTACAAGTCGTCTTTATCTTCCTTCTTAGCGGGGGGTACGATGAACTTGACCTCAGTGCTTCTCCAGCTTGGAAACAGCCTCCACCTACGGATACAAGGTCGTCAGTCATCAACGTCCAAAATGAATGGTAGGAAAAAGACACGTACCAAAACATGCTTAATTGGAAAGTAGCCATTGCAACTCTGGCTTTCTCAGCCTTTTTTAGTTCCTGCAGCACAGAGACCGCAGCAATCAAGTCCCCCATAGCAAGAAAAGCAAAGTCAATAACAATCCCATCTTCCTTCCCAGCCTTGACAATCTTGGCAACCACATCTTTATCCTTATAATCAAACATCCGACTTGCACCTAACCCCTTGATATACTCATGATGTTTGGAACTAGATGTTGCATACACCGTATACCCCATCGTCTTTGCGACTTGGACTGCAGCAGATCCAACACTACTTGATGCGCCCCATATCAACATTCCCATCTTGTCCTCAGGTTTATATGATGTTTCGCGAGTGAGACCAGAGTTGATGAATCCACACCAGCTTGTCTGGAGCGCCATTCCGATGATGCATCCTTCGTTGAAGCTCATTGTGTCTGGGAGTGGCGAGATGGCTTGTACAGGAACGAGGAACTTTTGTTGGAAGGCTCCATAGTCGGGTTCGCCTTTGTGGAAGAAGGATGCACCGTGGGCCTAGCGCCAAATGAAAAGAAATTCAGCATCATGTACTAGTAAGCAAGTATTCGTAACAGCAAGCAGTGTGCAAACTGAAACATACAATGACACGACTCCCCACAGCAGGAGCTTCTATCGTCATCGACGATCCAACCGCAAGAACGATACCAGCTACATCAGATCCAAGCACAGCAGGGTAATTTATCGATGGATAGCCGTACGCCCGTTGGTAATTGTCAATTGGGTTTAGTGCAATTGATTTCACTTCGATGAGGACTTCGTTGGGGCCTGGAATGGGTGTTGGGCGCTCCAGAAGCACTAGGTTGGCTGCCCGTGAGGGTAGGACGGCGGCTAAATGCTTCTCTGCCATGTTGTTTGATCTAAAGACTGGAAGTGGTCAGACAGATGGCCAACGTGGCAGCGTGGAAGCCAAATTACAATTTGGTAGCTTACCAAGCGGAGTCGAAAGAGATGAAAAGCCCAGAGATACAAGTGTTGAAATTAAGTTGATAGGACCTAGGTGCTTCAAAGCTCCGTAGTGCTTCCTGCAATAGCTTACTTGCGAAGAAAGGAGCAAACGAGGTGGTAAAAACCCCGATGCTGCATTCCAAGAGATCTATGAATGCGTTCGAAACTTGATACTAGTGGTATTCCAAGCCACTATTCCTTCCAAAGCGGAGGCATCGCGTCGTGTCGAAACAAGGTTCTATAACCATTTCTAAAGATCCAATACAACTACCTAATAGGTCCAATAGTAGAAGTCGTAGTTATCCGACTCATTTGTGCTGTCGCATCTTCAAAATCGGATGGTTGTGCAATATATTGACATTTTACCATATTCACGTGTTTTTGGCAAGAAAATAGATACTGCCGCAATCTTGTTCTTTAGCAGCGAGACAACTTTAAAGCGCCAGATCTGTAAAGATATATTGATGCTGCTCCTGATGGCTTCACTATGCTCGTCTTTTCCTAGTATAATTGTACTGACGGACCATTTTCTCTCCTCAGTAACAAACATTTTGAGATATACTAGTAATGGAAGAAACCATTACTGGAACAAGAGCAAGAGCGACAGCTGTGCCTGGAAGGACATCGCATCCAAACATTATGAGTGCCTCTTTCCTATATATACTGTGATTTGGGTGTCGTTACAAGACTGAAAAAGATGCAGATGAATCAACAGCGGAAAATGATAGGAGGGAGTCCAGTGACGCTGTTCATGAAGGTAAATATCATTATTAAAATACCGTTCAGGCATATATGCCCTTCTCCCATATCAGAACAGACCATTTTGCAATTCAGCATTTGGGTGCTTTTAATGATTGACGCCACAACATGAAACTCAGTATTACAGCCCCCGAATTTACACCAGAACATGTACAAGTACCATCATCTAAACCACGGAAGTAACGGTGTAGAGCGTTGAGATACATAGTGACACTGTTTGGCCGATCAAGGGCAACACGATATCACCACCACCACCACCACCACCATCAGCAAACCAACCTGAAACTGATTCAAAATCATCACAGCCACCGTTGTCATCGTCATTGCCATGTGCTTCACCAGTGGAGCACAGTACCAAACAGCAAGACCAGGAGATATGTACAATGCAGGACCATCGTGATCATCGGCAGCTGCCAGTCAACCAAAAGGACTCATCGGAGGTGTAGCAACCAATTTAGAGACACGTGCGGCTCCATCGTGAATATGGTTGATCAAAATATTGAACGCTGTATCAATTCGACAGTGACTGATGGACGTGTAAGAGTGAATTCAGTCTTACACATCCATCAGTCACTCTCGAATTGGTACAGAGTGCTCTATATTCATTCCACTTGGTAATTACAGGGAATGAGGAGACACCTATAGTATCGCATATTATAAATGATGGCATGTCACCCACCTTCAGCCGTGAACCCGGCTCCTTTGACTGGACTTATACCAAACCAGACACTCGAAATATATATTCCAGGTCCATCAAATTCGCAGACTCGCCATCCGAAACTGCATTCAAGGAAATACTGGAAAAATGTATTCACGAAACAAAGTCATTGTGAAGCCTTTGATAAAGTCAGGGAGGATCATCAATCGGTAGTCGGGACAGCTGCATCAGCAGACAACAAGGAATTCCAGCCAATGCCATCTCGGCAGCCGTCAACAATGCCACTGCTAAAAGCTACGAGAAGACCTCTACTGCAGCAGTAGGAAATAAATACGACCGACCCTATATAGTACGAGGCAACCGCACTATAAGTCCACTAGCGCATCGTCAGATCCATATGCCATCACCTGGAATCCCAACTGGATGAGGATATGTAAAGATAGCGACACCTCTGAACCATTCAGAAATGTATATGAATAATCCAGCCTTCTCATGGTGCCCGCAGGATTGAAGGGAATTTACGATATCCGAAAGGATCTCGTTTACGATCCATGGAAGGTAAACTAAATCGTCTAGTATAGCTTTTTGTGCTGTTGGTGTGAGGACAGTAAGTCCTGTCTTGGAAGTTGGAATTTGGTTCCCACTCTTGATGCTAACATGACGTTTCTCGATAAGATAAGCTGTATATATACAACTTTTAAGATAATTTCGTACCTGTTTGTTTTACGAGAAGCTCTCTATTTTGATTTGCGACTTGTTTCAGTACAGAATATACAAGCCTTCTGTATTGGGGCATATATCATAGAAACGAGTGTGCAGTTGCTGTTTCAATGTACATCTGTACAGATCTTGGCAACTACCTCACAGTCCTCGTGGTTGTCAAAGTTTCGCCATGTTTTGAAACCTTGTTGCGACATATTTCGGACAGCAGCGTGATTTCACGTGTAGGGCGCGTCAAATCATCGAATCCTTGTATACATCCAGTAAGCCTGGGTGCAGAGTCGTGTGCTTTGGTTCCCCGATCGAGTCATCCCAAACGGCATACACTCCGACGACGAAAGCAACCAGCCAAGAAAGAGGGACAATGTGGAGAATTCTGCTCACCGCGTGGGCACTATCCTCATCCGTCAATGCCAAATTCATCAATCTGGCGTCGCCTCCATCCGACCTACCATCCAAAATCACAACGTAACAGAAACTTTTTTGTGGTTGAATGCATCCGTGCTAACCCGTTTGCCTACGTAGTATTCCAACAAGACTGAATACCAGAGTAGTTCGAAATGTTGGCGATAAAATGCAGGGATCTACGGGCCTCTTGTTTTATGGAGCTGTAAGTGACGACATTTGCATTTTTTGTATGATCAAATCCCGCACTTCGTGACTCCTTTCTTTACCAAAGCTAAATACTCGTTTTCTGTTGACTTATAGCTGGAAGGAATCGTGTCTATAGGCACCCCACTTCAGAATTTCGCCGTTATTCTTGATACGGGTAAGCTTGGCAGGCGACATGGTTTTTTGGTTATGCATCCCTCAAAGCTGCATTGTGATGCTACTCAAACCATCATTGATGCATGTATACAATGCCAATTTGACCCTCTCACTATCATCGTCATTACTCTCGTCACCTACATCGAGCGTTAAACAGTCATCGCTATTTCCAGGCTCACAAGAACTATGGGTCCGCAGCTCCAAATGCACGTCCGGCAGCGCATGCACCGCCGGCTCAGCTGCCTTCTCCACATCTGCATCATCAACATGGGAGCAAACAGGAACCAACATCGAGTACGGTCCGTACGGCGACGGCCTGGACGCATACGGACGATCAGGATTCGATACAGTTAAACTGGCTGGCATAACGGTTACGCATCAGAATATGGGAGCAGTAGATAAGATAGCAATTGGAAGTGCTTCGTTGGGTGCTGATGGTAAGAAAGTCAAAGATGTTGTATTCTGTCAGTTTTTTTGGCCGTGATAGATCTGACACTGTTTCGCTCACGTGTTAGGTATTATGGGTATACCAGCTGCTAATTTGAATAATAAGACATGTACGTTTACAGCATATTTCATTTTTGGGTTTTGTCCAGTGGAGAAACTCGTCAAATCCGAGCTTTAGCCTAACACAACATCAACATCTTTATTAGTTGACAACCAATATGTTCCCGGAAACATGTACAATCAGGGGTTATTGGATTCACCCATCTGGGCTTTCTGGTATTATACAAGTCAACGTTACATTTTTTTGTGCTTCACTAACAATACACACCAATTCCACCAACCAGGTACAACAATTCAAACCCAATCCTCGGCGTATCGTACATGGACGGCGAGTTAAGTCTCGGCGGCATAGACCCTAATCTCTACACCGGAACCATACAATACGTGCCATTGCTATGGGATGTAGGGTCCATCCCTGATCTATATATTTATCTGTCTGCTTACTGGTACGTACACGAGATGAACCTTTCTTGCATAGTCGAGCATTTTCTGACTGATTTATTTGGTTTGCTCTTTATCAGGTTTGTATCATTAACAAGCATCAAAGTCGGCTCTGGAAGCAACCTGATAACCGCCAAGAACGCACCTGCTTCGGCCGGCCAAGTATCTGTTTCAGGATGGGTTGTTAATAAGGATGGAGAGTTGCCAATGTTGGTTGATACTGGGTGCGTTAAAAACACCATCGCACTCCCTATCCAATTTCTTTTGCGTACATATTAACATCCTCCTTCCTCCACAGAACAACCCTCACAATCCTACCAACCGGCGTCGTATCCGCTATTGCATCCGCCCTGCAAGGCGTGGCCCTCCCACCCGCAACTGCAGGCGGCACGGGTCTCTACGGCCCCAACTGTGACGCACTCCCTGTCTCCGAGTATCCGACAATCACATTCACGATGGGCGGCAAAGTCCTGTCCTTCCCACCTGCACAATATGTTATTCCTGATTCGACTGGTAATTTATGTAGCGGGATGTATCTGTTTCAGGGAAATGACAATGGGCCGCTCGGTGGTGGAATATTTGGAGCGTTGAGGTATGTGATGGTTTGTGGATGCACGTTATTGAAAAGTCTGATTTTTTTTTTGGTTGTGATCTAGTCAATCTGGGTTTTACAATATCTTTGACTGGGGCGGACGACAAATTGGATTTGCGGCTACATCGCTGACAGGAAGTGGGTCTGGATTGTAAGTCTTGAAATTTGGAATGTTGGGTCTTTTGCAAGCAATCGTCATACGTCGCTCCGCGACAAAAGAGAAACCGACTGAGACGCAAATAATTTCAACCTTTTGAACATATTTGCCCTCACATTGCAGCCCTCATATAAACACAAACTCTAATCCACCACACTCTTCCCTCTCACCACCAGATCAAACACAGGCCCAACACCCAACAGCACCCCGCAATCAACACCACCAACAACAACAGACTCAGCACCCGACCAAACTGACGCCTCCGAACTCTCCCCCACCCATTCAACAACCCCCACCGACACATCCGTAACGCCCACAGACGCCGTCGTCCCAACAGACGACACAGCCGTCACACCCACCGACGCCCCCACATCCCCAAAGTCCAAACACAGCACACCGACGCCCCAGCCATGGACGCTAACCAACCTAGAAATCGTGCGGCCGTACTCTTATGATGTGTCGTATGACGCATCGGTAGTTGACACATCATCATCAGCAATCCGTATATACCATAATCATATTATGTTGGCACTAGTAGTAGTAATAGCCGTGTTATTCTAAAAGAAATAGGCACATTGTCATTATGTAACACGTAACGGACTTCACGTATGATTTAAAGAATCTCATCAAACAGAGAGACACAAGAACAGTAGTAGTTAAGTGAAAAAAGAAGATGTTTATTTCTTTGTACCAACTTGACTTAAAAAAATCACAACATATTCCAAATTCAACAAAAAAATCTATACATTGTGCTATTGTTGTTGTTGTTCTTGTGGGCTCGGTTTTTCTGTGTGCCGTTCAACAATAATAATAAACAAGCTGAGGTTGTTACTGATTATAAAAGGGATTGGGCTTATACATGCTAGTGGTGGTGGTGGTGGATGGTAGTGGTAGTAGCAATCAGTGTAAATAAAGCGAAATTCCCTAGCCATTATAATATGCTCTATAATATCGAATCCATCTTTGTATACACACTCAACACACCCGCCATAACCTCCGTAACACCCCACGCCTTTGCGCGGTCCGTCAATGCAGCACCTTCCTGCAAGAACTCGTCCACCTTCTGGAAGGCAGCATCACGTTGCGTACCGCTCAAATTCACCAATGCGAAATCCAGTACGTTTGCAGCATATGCAGCACATACAAGTGCCACTGTTCTGCGATCTGATACGGATGCTGATCCACCTCTACCTAGGAGACAGTCTGTAGCTCGAGTCATCATTGCTTCCTTGATGGAGTGGTCTGCGACTGGGTGGGTTGCCATGTCGAATAGGACAAAGTTTCGTTTTTCGGTGCGGAGGACTCCCTTGTCTACGAGTCCTTTGGCGATGCGTTCACGGACTTGTTTTAGTTGGTAGCCGATTTTCATCAAGTTCCATGTTTCGCCTATTGGCGATAAGGTGTTTGGTTAGGTGTGCTGGCTCGATAGTGTGGGTCGAAGGTTTGAAGGTTTGTAAAGCGCAATGAGGGCGAAAAAAGACAGTAGATGGATCCAAGATGCCAAAAGACTTGCTCACACACACCACTCTAAACCCATCACATACCACTCATGAGATCAATCCAATTTCCCACACTCTGTCGTTCGAGTTTCATAAGTTTGAGAGCCTCGTCTAGCAGGACTTCGCCAGTGGGTTGATCTGACACGACTTCAATCAGACGTTCAGCAAAAGGTCGTTTCCTAGGCTCTAGGACAGTTTTGATTCGATTCCTGAATGATAATTCCATCAAGATACATCCTCGTAAGACCTATTGATAATGGGGGTGTGAGCATTTTGGGGTTGGGGAGTTTTCGAAGGGCACGTACATATGAGATGTTGTCATTCCAGAATGAGAGATATCCCTGTGAGGAATGATATTAAGCATATGTAACACGAAATATGAGACTCGATGAGTCCATAGGATACATCACCAACAGCCTCACAACGCTCACTCACCTGCGAATCCTTGATACCCATCAGCAGCACCTGTTCCATAAGCGTCAACCTATTAGTTTTTCCAGCTCCGTCCTTGCCATCATTATCATCTTCATCATCGTCTATATTATTACTATTATTTCCTCCCTCACTGCTATCATTGACAGACCGTTTTCGCCCGTCGTCGTTCATGTCGGCATTGTTTGCTTTGGAGCGGGCAGCTGCGTCATCGTCGTCTACATCGTCTGCGGCGAAATTCCTTCGTCGTTGTGTCAGGCCTCCTGACATCTTGGCGAGAATTGGGTTTTGGTTGGGGTTTGTGAGTGTGGTTTTTTAAATTTGTAGTTGGTTTGACTATGGGAGTCGGGAAGGAAGGAATATATATTATTGCGGATATGCTAGTAAGAAAGGGTTGTACTGTCTATAGCTTTTTCTGTCTTCAATCGTGTTGGTTCTCGAGTCGAGAGTTTTTGCAAAATGCAAGTGAAACACCAACAATATAAAAGCAAACGCCCATTTTAGTAATATACATGGAAGGCTCCGATAGAATTAACGCGTGAATATTCAGACAATTCCGTGGCCAAAGACGCGAAAAACACGCTATGTGGTGTCGTAGCAAACCCCAACTTTGAACATTACACTTTCAAAGTTTCACGCGGATCTTAAAGGATTCTTAGATAGTAGAGTAGTAAAGTAACGTATATTCACGTTACTCTTTTGCAACTAATTCAAACTTTTCTTAACTTGGGCCTCAAGCTTCAGTGGCATCAGGCTTCACACTAGTTATACACAGCACACAGACTACACAGATCAGACTCTTGACAACCAGTCAAACTTGCTCAGGCTCTTGCTTTAACTAGACGTTTGCAAGAATCAATGTCAACATGCATCACTCCTTCACCCAAACTAGAAACAAGAACCAACCTTCGAACGGCAGGGAAATCACACTCTGGATCAAATTATACGTCCCAGTAGCATACCCCGTAGCCCGTATAAAGTAAATCCCGCTCTTGAACATGGCAGGAATGGTATAGTTCATTCCCATATCATTGTAATCACCCAGTCCCAGAATCGTGAATGACTGGCCAGTATGTTCGGAAATGGCGACTAGATCGATATATGTGGGGTCATTATCGATGTTGTTTGATGACCAGGTTATGTGTAGTGTTGTGCCTAGGTATGAGTGGTTTGGAATGGAGTGAGTTATGCAAGTTTGTTTTGAATGGCGCGTGTTTTGATGATGGCATAGGTTTACATATGCGATCAATGATATGGAGGGTGCCAATGTAATCATTACACATGAAAATATATGATTCAGTTGTCTCATTATACGTACCGGTGGTGATGTTTGCTCGAGGCAAGATCGTCAGTCCAACAAAACTTGCAGATGCGATGTGAGTCAATGCAGCCACGATCAGCGCCAAAAAGAGTACTTTCATGGTTTATAACGTGTCAAATAACGTGTGTATTCTTGTCTTGGTTGATTCTTGTCTTTCAAGTGCTGATCGTCGTCAAACGTAAATTAGTTGAGTAATGGGCAAACGTGGAAAGAGACAGGGAAAGCCTCGTAAGCGAGATATTGATCCGGCAGCTGCCAAGAAGGCATGGGAGGAGCGTCCTCCAGCTCAAGACGGATATGTTGATGCAAGGCATGAAAATCCAGCTTTTACACAATATTACAAGGTGAAGCAATTTGAAGCTTACTGGTTAGACTAAGTTAGCTAACTGTGTTAGTTACGTAGGCTCAAGGTCTAGTTCCTGAAGAAGAATGGGATGTCTTTGTAGAGTCGCTACGTACATCGCTGCCAACTACATTTAGATTCATTTCGGGCAGGTGTGTGTTTTGCATGAGAAAAAAAAGAGCCCTTTAACAACAACATTGTTGATCCAACCAAACTCACACATTCGACTACGTTCATTAGTGAAGCTCATGATACTCGTGAATGGATGATTCGTGAATACTTTGATATCTTCAAAAAGGCTGTTGATGAGGAACAAGTCACCACCACTGACACTGATCTTGATCGCAAGGCGGCTGAAACATTCATGGCTCCTACTGTTATACCATGGTATCCAAATGAGCTGGCGTGGTTTGTCGAAATACCGAGACGCGTGCTACGCAAGAATGAATCGCTGGCCAAGTTTCATCAGTGGCTCGTGTCTGAGAATGAAATGGTATGAGAGCTTGTATCGTGTTTGATCACAGCAATATGGTGAGCTATAGCGTTCTTTTTTTGTTAGGGCACGATATATCGTCAAGAAGCAGTCAGTATGATTCCAGTCTTGTTTCTTGACGTGAAACCTCATCACTATGTAAGTTTGAGCCGAAAAAGAGCTTTAAGTCTCGAGTCATAGTGCTAAAACACTGTTTACCAACATAAGGTCCTGGATATGTGTGCTGCACCAGGAAGTAAGACGTGCCAAATGCTGGAAATACTGACTGCAAATGATGATATCAATACAAGTAAGACACGCTTAAAAAACTACATCCACACCAGCAAATCATGGTGACTGAACCTTCATATCTCCCCCACCCCCACCTAGACGGCCTCATGATCGCCAACGACTCAAACACTGCACGCGCTCACATGCTGATCCACCAAATGAAGAGACTACCAACCCCATGTCTCCTGGTTACGAATCACGACGCTCAATTCTTTCCACGATTGAGAACGCATACGTGTGATGCTACTGGACGGACTGTCGTCGAGAATATACTGTTTGATCGGATACTGGCTGATGTGCCTTGTTCGTAAGTTGATCAAACAATTAATGTTGAGTGATAGAAATGTTCTTACCTTTTGCGTTTGCAGAGGTGACGGTACACTTCGCAAGAACTTGGCCATATGGGCCAAATGGAATCCTGCGGAGGGGCGTGGATTGCACAAGTGAGTTCAAATGATTGAAGATGCCTCTTACTTTTCTTATATTCTGACCAAGTACCTACCTTTTTCCAATCCAACTCTAGTTTACAACTGGCAATTCTGGATCGAGCTTGTGAGTTGCTCAAAGTTGGAGGTCGAGTGGTTTATTCCACGTGTAGTATGAATCCAAGTAAGTGTGACCCGAGCAAAAATAATGGGAAAGGACATGCTCCGTATACGTCCATGTTGTCATATCCACTCAGTTCCTTGCTACCATCCCATTAGTTGAGAATGAAGCAGTAGTAGCAGCAATGCTCGCACGTGCTCCCGGCACGTTCGACCTACTTGACGTATCACATCAAGTTCCTGGATTGAAGAGACGGCAGGGATTATCCTATTGGAAGGTAAAAAAACCAACCACGCTTTTCGAGATCCTATTAAATTAGGTAGATCTTCATGACGGACTCAACATATTTATATTTAGGTTCCATCAGACAGTATAGACGAACAAGGCCAAATGGTATTCTATGATGAATTTGAACTAGCCCCTGAGTCAAAAATGAAGTGGACGACCACCATGTGGCCACCTGCTAATGTTGAGGAACTGCATCTTGAAAGATGGTGAGTTTGTGCTGCTGTAGGCTTTCAGTGGTTCGTAAGAATTTCCGGGTGGAAGCTTCAATACCCACTACTTTGATATTTGTCACTCATCAAATCTCATCACCCGCTTGCCTTCTTTCATCAAACAGCATGAGACTACTACCACACTACCAAAACACGGGTGGCTTCTTCGTAGCCGTAATTCAAAAGAACAATGTGTATAAAGGATTCAAGAGGCCTCAAAAACCCAAGACGGAGGAAGTCAAGAAGAGGGCATCTGAAGAATTGTAAGTTGATTGCATCATAAATTGTGTCTCGGGGCGTTTTTGTTGTTGTTGTTGTTGATGGTTTGGTGTTATCTGTAGGCTGTCTAAAACTGATGGGAAACGTAGAAAATCTAACGCTGAGAAGCTCGTCGGATCAGATATTGCCGTTGAAGAACCAGATCTAGATGAATCACCGGATGTCATGGATGAACGGGATGATGCTGCACCAGATGGTGAAGATGCCATGCTAGATGTAGAAGATGCTGATCTGCAGGTTGATGAGGCTGACGCCGAGACTGTTACTGCTGATACACAAGTGCAGCAGCCGGAAGGTCCAGCACCGTCCACGTTGATTCAAACTGCTCCAGTGAGGGGTGAATTGCCTTTTCATGCGTATACCGCCAAGTCACCTGATATCAAGAGTATCATGTAAGGCCTCTGTCATTTGTTTCTCTTGTCGTAAGGTGTTTTTCCCTCCTTCTTTAACTCGACCCACTAATGCACAGGGACTGGTATGAACTTGACCATTCATTCCCAGTTGATCGAGTGCTGGGTCGTATACCATCGGGTGCTAAAAGCATGTGGATGGCTTCACCGGCTGTTCAGAAAGTGTTGTCGTGTTTCAATGCTCCTGCTCTAAAGGTAATCTTTGGGAGTATGTCGGCGGGTTTTTGCCCTCATATTCACTCGGTAATTCACTACAGGTTGTTTACGCTGGAATGAAGGTCTTCATAAAGAATGCTGGGGATGCTAAAAAGTACGTCAGTCGCCTGTTCGGAAAAAATTTTATACTTGTTTGACTGACAAGAAAAACACACTGTAGTGGCTCAATGTGCACATATCGAATCGAAAACATTGCAGTGCCACTAATGTTGCCATTCTTACCATCACCGTCTCAACGAATGGTTACAATATCGTTTGATGACTTGTTGACTCTTATTGGGCTTGATTATCCCAAGTTTGGATCGTTTAGTGTGGAAGTTCAGGAGTATTTAGTGCGTCAAGGTAACTAACGATGGTTATGGGCTGATTTTTTCTCGTTGTTATCGAGTCTTGATTGACATCATGCTTTCATTCATAGCAATTGGACCATTGATCATGAAATTTGATCCATCGCTGGATACGTCTGGTCGTGCCAAGTATGTCATAGCCTATCGCTCGGTACTATTTTTCTCTTTTTTCTCTCCGATGTCTAACTCACTCTAATTCACATTTTTGAAAAGGGGCCGTCTCGTAAACCACATTATGTACATACCAGTATGGAGAGCAGCAACGTCCATATCTGTCTTTTTGGACAAGATAGAACGCAAGAATATTTATGCTAGATTAGCGGGATTGGAGTATGAACCAACAGTCATTCAGTTTCCTGTCAAGAACAAGAATTTCAAAATGGGAGATGATAAGGTTGCCGATGTGGCAACAAGTGTAGTTGATTCTGTAACTACGAGTGTGGAGTGATTTGAGGAATAGAGGGAAACATGTTTGCATTACTCAAATTTGGGTTTTGTGTTTTGGTTGGAAATGTTTCTGATTTCCACAAGCGGTTTGTCTGGACGACTAAACATGCACCTTGAGTTGGCGAGGGTTAATGGGAATGGATGATTTCTTGAATGCTTGGATGTATTGAAAGAGTTGCTGAGGAGTAACAAGTCAGTGATACTTCTGAAGTTCGTTTCTCTCCTACTTTACCATGGTCTGCAATGATTCGACACCGGACGAAGAATAAATCTTTCGCCAAGTTTGCACAATGACTCGAGGATGAGAAACGAAATGGTATGAAACCAGATGGATGTTGATAGCATGTGAGAAGTGTACTTGCAGAGCGTTTGCCTGCGAGATTATGTATCGACACGAAGCAGTCAGTGTGATTCCAGGCCTGTTTCTTGGCGTAAAGTCACATCATTGTGTTGAGTTTGAACAAAACAAAGTGACTGATTCTATTTATCAAAAACTAGATTATGGATATGTGTGCTGCGGCAGGTAGCACAACGTGCCAAATGCTGGAAAAACTGACAAATGCTGGTATTAATACAAGTAGACATACCCAAAATATCGCTGGAGAGGATTTCATTATGGTGACGATATCTACATTCTTCACCACATCTCGACGGCCTCATGATGACCGACGACTCAGACGGAGTACGAGCTCACATGCTCATCCAACGATGGCAGAGACTACCAACGTCCTGTCACACATCCTTAATTAGTCTAGCAGCAATGAGAGCCCAATGCGATCACGAGCTCTCAACACATTCGATCACCTTGATGTGTCAGATCAAGTGTTTGGATCAGTACCTGGATTGAGAAGGCGACAAATCATTTTGTGTTCTTGGAAGGTAATAAAGAGGCCAAAAATACTGCCTTCCTTCCCATAAATTGCGTATGTGGCTTCATGTCTGCCTCCACATTGTACTTAGGGTCCATCGGACAATGTAGATGAAGGTGAAATGGTATTCTATGATGCAGTCGAACGAGCTCCTGAATCTTGCAGTCGAACGAGCTCCTGAATCTAAAATAAAGTGGTCGACCGTGGCCTCCTGCTAATGTTGAGGCACTTCATCTTGAATTATGGTGAGTTTGTGTTGCTGAGAAACGCTCAGGTTGCCTACACCTGATGAAAACCGTAGAAAATCCAATGTTACGAAGTCCGTTAAATCCGATGTTGCTGCTGAAGAAGAGCAGGCTATTGATGAATCATCAGATGTTATGGATTCAGCAGATATGATGTTGAACCAGCCATGCTAGACATTGATTTCGCTGATCCCCGGATTGAAGAGCAAGACGATAATGTTTGTTCTAATGATACGCGATTCCAACAACAGCAAGGCCCAGTGTCTTCGATGCACTCTCTTTTCTTGAATATATAAGAGTCCTGCACCCACACCTATACCAGGCCTCGCGGAAGTACTACTCTTTGCCTCTGAAATACAACTAACTCCACAAGCAGAAAAACAAACGGAAACACAGCATAAAGTCCATCTACACACAACTAGACGTCCTTAACATGCAACTCAATCTCTATTAGTGTAAAATGCCAAAACTATACAAACATATTAAAACTTATCATCCCACGACGAATCATCCCAAGCAGATGGCAAAACGGCAGGTTTCACAGGTGTAGTGCTCATACTAGTGCCATAAGCCATACTATTTTGCATGATACTTGTTGTGGGACCAGCGGGAGGTGGAGGAAGACCAGTAAAGAGGTTTTGCTGTGGTGGCTGCTGTGATTGTGATGTTCTTGTTGATTTCGGTGATGGCTTTTTGGCGACTGTTGCTGGTTTTGGTTGTAGTGGGTTTCGTGATTGTGCTGGGTTGTTACCGATTACTAAGAAAGCGCGTGAAGAGAAATAAAGTCAGAGTCGAACGACAGCCAAAAAAGGATGGTGGGGGAAGATTAATGGCTTCGGAATTCAATTCCTTGTTGTCAACATGACCTGGCAGCCAACACAAAATACAACATACACACTCACCACTATTCTCAAAATCATCGAAATCATCCCAGCCATTCTTCCCCTTACTAGGCAGTGACATTCCACCAACACCATTAGTCCCCCCAAAATTAGTCGCTGGAGCAGGAGGTGGCGGTGGCAAAGCAGGCATAAACCCTCCAGAATTCGACGTCTTCAAAGCCGAAGAACTATTACTCCTACCAAACGACGATATCGGATTCGAAGCAACAGTAGTTCCATAAGCTCCAAAAGATCCAGTTAACTCGCTACTACCATTACCATTAAACCCACCAAAGCTGTTATTACTATTATTGTTGGCGCTATTGTTGACACTATTACTATATGAAGGTATCACAGCTGGTACGAGTGGATTTGTAGATGGTGGTGGTGGATTCTTGCTACTATAACTGGTCGGTTGTGTTGACGGTAGACCACCTGGTAAACTAGCCGAGTGATTCATCGGTACACCTGCAGGGACAGCACCATTAGTACCAGCACCACCATCCGCGACTTGCTGTACCATACTTTCAGCTTCTTCAGTCAGCTTCTTTATGAATATATTGATGGTTTTGATGGCATTCATTCTCGTCTTTTTGTCAGGATCGATAAGCAGTGGTCCTATGGCAGGTATGATTTGGGTTGCTAGATCTGGTGATGTTATGTGAGAGCTGGATGCAGTTAAGGCAAGTAAACCTGCATGTCGAGCTGGCGGGAATGGATCTTTGAGTGCTCGAGATAGGCCTGGTATTAAAAACTTTTTCAGTGTTGAGGCAGAGAGGTTTGGTACGAGCTTTCCTAGACATATTACTGCATTCGTTCGGATTCCAGCCTCTAAAAATGGAGCGTTTTGAAGATTTAAGAGGGCTGGCGCAAAAAGTAATCGTAAATGCCGTCGATGCATGAATGCAACATACCTTCGTCACTCTGAAGCTTCCCCAGATAGTTGACCACATCGTTATTCAAGATTTTGGAGGAAAGCTAAAGGCAGAGCAAATCCGTGAGCATAAAATGATCACAGACACAGCGTGTTAAAAACTGCACCAAAGACATGGATCATACCTTCGGGAGTAATGCTAGAATTGCCCGCAACGTAGCTTCTCTAACCAGAGCCTACAAATGGAGTCGATGATGTGAGATTTCTACACAAATTTCGGTCGACGCCAAAAAAAGTGACATTCGACACAATCGTGTGCTTCCACGGGATCGACCATCCATCAACCACAACGGCCTTTCAAACTATAAACACATACATGAATATCCATAAATCCAGCAGCAAAATGACTCCATATCTTCTCATTGACAACATTTTCAGGCAACAATTCCACAAAATCCGTCAGCGCATTACACAATGTCACACGTATAGATCGGTCAGGCATAGCAAAAGCTCGGACAATAATGGGAACGATATGTTTTTCGTATTCAGGTGGTGGTAGTGCTTTTCCCATTTTCATAATGAGGTTTAAAGCTGGTGGTCCTATACCACCAAATTCTAATGCATTGGCTATTTCGGGGAGGACTTTGTGGAGCCTGAATGCTGGTGGCAGTTGATCTACGTTTGCGAGTAGGTGCCTACAACCGGTGAATAACGCGTAAGTCTTGGTGCAGCCAAAAAAACGGTAGCTTGAGTGAGTCGCACTTGATGAATTCCTCCTTTTCAGGCTTTTCCTTTAGCGATATCTGATCTAGAAACTTGACAGTATACACGATTGGGTGATCAAAGTACGGATTTGTTTCAAGTAACGGCATTGAAGGTCGTTGCCGTGGATCATCAGCAACAAGTCTTTGGAAGGTTCCTAGTAGTTGCTAACAGAGCGAGAACAAAAATGGATCAAGATAAGAAGATAGCGTCTCTTCACGTTTGCAACACGTACTGGCGGAATGGATCCATTCGAGAAACCATCTTGTCTTGGGAGGATTCCATTAAATATTTCATAAATTAACGTTCCGAATGTCCATGAATCCACAACAAAAGGAGGATTGCTATAATTGATGAGCAGAGTGAGTAACTGAACACAATTCCTTCCTCCTTTACCAAGGATAGTTGCTTTTTTTTACCTCTTGACGATAGACCAAGATGCTTTCCTCACTTCAGGAGGCAAGTACTTGTCATCAACCCATTTCAACGCCGAGGCAATGAATATCGGATTATCTTCCTGTAGCGAGCAACATAGTTCCCATCCTGCCAATCTGTATTAACAGTGTTGGTGAGACTCCACGTCATCATCACAAACCTTATGAAACAAAAAAAGCGCAACACTCCCGACAATCGATACTCACTTCCATTCACCCGAAGCAGTAACATAGACAGAAGATCTCGTAATATTCCCATGTACAAGCCCGCAATCCGTGTTTATGAACTTGATGGCGTTGATGAGCGACCATAAACCCCATTGTATGATGAGCGAGTCTTTTGGTATGGCACTGAGAGGCTGCACTGGTTCAGTAGCAATGTAGATTTCCTTTTCAGTTTCGACACCGTCTGCATAAAGACTGTGTAAGGAGAGATCGCGATAGAATGAAACAATACATTGTCTTTCATGATTTACCAACGAATTTGAGCAGTGTCGGATGCCTCATCTTTTTAAAAGACTTAAAGGCATTACTAGCGAGTTGCCGATGATCTTTTTTCTTGACTAGAGATAAGAATGGTCACAGTTAGAATCACCAACATTTAAAACAGCGATTTGATGTTTTGCGATCAAAGAGAGACATTGCAAGAAATCAAGCAAACAAGAGCCACGATCGAGGTATACCAGATCAGTATTTTAGGACGTACCGCAGTCAAAGTAGAAAACCGTCAAATTGCTTCCATCAGATTTCAGAGTTCCTCGAAAAAGTGTAAAGAGAGGGCCTTCGCTCAGTTTCTCATTCAGACTAAAACAGCAGTTGGCTAGAGGGCTTCCTACTGCCCTGGCGAACAGGTCATATACCGCTTGAGCCATTGAATCTACTAGTGGTGCAAAACTGAATTTGGTGGTGGTTTAACGTTTGGAGTGTGAGTAAAGGTCGAAAGGACGTGTCGTTTACTATGAAAATGAAATATTTGGACCATTATACACGCGCTGTCACTCTTATTTACTCATCATTGACCTGTTTCTGTAGGCCACAATGGGTACATTCGTGATGTACCCAGTACATTACGAAGAACATTTAATTGTGTTCATATGAACGAGTATGGCTCGAGAAAGGAACGTTTCTGGAACCGTCAAAGTGCTAATTAATGATGTGAAATCTGACACTTCAATCTGGGTGTTTGCTGAATACTCAATACTCCATGCACATTCTCGTTATTCCGAACGTCAACCTGCCCTCTTTCTACGCCATGCTTTCTCTTTGTGATGTTTTCCATCTCTCTGGATTGTGACTTCCTTATGAGGCTTCACTTTGCAACATAACGTCGACACAACGTCGGTTGCGTGCAAGACAAATTTCCCTTTGCTTTTGCATATCTGACGGTCAGGCTGAAAGTTGCCGCCTTCGAGTCCCAGCTGCCCACTATGCAGCTCTCAAACGCTCTCAAATCGTGACAGCAGCCATCGCTGTGCACTGACAGCAGAGTTGAGCCAGATACCCTCAACCTTCAAACCTCGTTCTCGACTGATCAAGACGCCCCTCCTATAGATGCAGCACGTGAATCTTGATTGTAAGAGCTTCTCAATAGATCCACGTGATTACTATCTTTGTTCTCGAATGCGCAAAGAAAGCTTCACTACAAATGGATGATCGCTCTCAATTACAAGCATTGTTTGAGTTCGTTGTTGTTTGAGTTCGTTGACTTTAAAGTTCTTTGAAAATACAATATCCAGATTCTACCTCTTTAACGTGTGTCTAGATTGGAATGATTCGACGAAAACGCGAGAAAATGAGCGATTTGTGGCGAATGCCATCGGTCAGTTCTAGAGGTGATCTTTGCCGTTTGTCGTATGATCTCGCCCAATAAACAGCATCCGGCCTATTACGCAGTAGATGATTCGTGATTGACGCGCTCTGCGCTCTATGGTGATGAACACTCAAAATTCCTCAACTAATAAAACGAGTTGTGATAAACAGGACGAGAGATACGAGAGGAGTGGACTTGCCAATAAGGAAAACGAAACAGCATCAGTCATGCTCTCACAATCCGGGCTGCCGAATCTACCTGGCAAGGACTCGAAAACCACGACACAAACCGTGAATCCCACGCCTGGACTCAATGAACCATATTCATTCTCTGCTGAACCACGTCCAGTCCAAAACAACCAGCAGCAGATACAGAGAAAGAAATATAGAGATGTTGCCGTCGCGCTGCCTCCTGCCGCCGAAAAGGATCAACGACTGGCGTATGTCTTGCATTTTAATCGTTTGATTAATGTGGATTTTAATGTGGAGGAGTGGATGCTCACCGTACTATACTATTCGTACTGTATAGACCAGTTAATATCATGCACGATCGTCGAATTCATCGTGGAAGTACATATGCTGCTCCAATAGGTGCATTGGTGAGTGATTGGAGTGAGGATGTGGATCATGCATGGATACCATAAACGATGTTGGATATACACATTCAAATTACACCAAAATTCGCTAATGACGTGATCCTAACCTCCCCACTTACCTAGAACTCACAACCTGATCCGGTGGAATTGGAACGCCAGGCCGAAATGAAGCGACGTCTTAAAGCCCGCAGACGTGCAGAAGCCCAACGCAGACCAAAGACCCCCGATGCAGTCGAAGGCCGTCGTCACATCGAAGTGCAAACCGACGTATATCTAGAAGAACTATCCGACAAGGTCCCAGAATCCGATGCCGCCGCCCAAACCGACGCATTCCTGGACCGTCCACCATCTCCCCTGTACATCCCTCAAAAATCAGGCATGGATGCATCAACCCAAATCCTGGAGGGCGAACTATTCGATTTCGATATAGAAGTCGGCCCAATCCTGCAAGTCCTCGTAGGCAAAACTCTAGAACAGTCATTGATGGAGGTAGCTGAAGAAGATGAATTGGAATCATTGCGTAAACATCAGTCGGAATATGAGACTCGTCGTGCTGCTGAACTTGCTGAAACGCAACGTCTGGAGGAGGCTGAACGTCGTAGAACTGAAGAGAAACAACGTAGGTTACAGGAACGTGAACGGGTTGCAGAGTTGCAACATCAGGCTGCTGCTAGAGTCGCTGCTCGGGCTTTTGCTAGTAGTTACTTAAAGGATTTGGTACCCTCTGTATTCGAGACGTTGACTCAGCGTGGATTCTATGGTGATCCGGTGCAAAAAGAAGTCGAGTCCACCTTCTTGCCTTGGTTGACTGGTCAAGTGGAGTCATCGCTGGATCGATACAAGACTGCTCAGCAAGTCGTTGATGGTATGTTTGCGTCAGTTTTTTTGTTGGGTTGTTGAGTACTGTCCTCACATATTCTTTGCCATTGGTAGCTCTCTTGCTGCAGGCTATTCGAGAACTACGACAATAGTAGAGATACCATATATTGTGCTTTATTGAGTTGCTTAACATGCCCCCACGTGCTTCCCTTAACAAAACCGTAGTCTGTAAATAACTGTATGATGTTGTGTATAAAGACTATTCAAGTGTCGCCAATATTGGTTTATAGAAAGATTCGAACGTGAATTTCGTTTCGTGTCTCCTGTTTACGGGAATACGCGCAGACTCAGATTCCAAGCAAGCCTTACCACAACATGATTTCGTGATCTGGAACGATTATATAGTGAACTTAGTTGCTAAGAACCGTCTTGATCTATCTAAGCTCGCTGCCAGAAATATCCAAGCTCCATCAAAAACAAAAATGACAATGGCCAGTCTGTTATCACGACGAGGAACTCTCTATGGTCTAGACGACAAGTAATCATATAAATACTATTCAAAATTATGCAAAATCTTTATATTGTAGTCTCGCCTTTGTCACTCATTTGCTCACAAACACACAACATTTAGAATCGTGCTCGACATTGGAAGCCTCTACATAAAATGTGGATTTTCAGGAGAATCACGTCCACGAAGCATTGTCCCGACGTGTATTCATCCATATGCTAATGTGCTGGATGGGAGTAGGACTGTTGGAGAGGTAATATGTTGAATTCGTTGAACATTTGATGACTGTGAGCTGAATCTTTTTGGCCTACATTGCTCCTAGTTGATCACATTATGGAATCTTGAAATCCAGAACGACGAGATAGAGCATTTAGAGGATCGGATTGCGGATTTGTTGTACCGGATCTATCAGAGGTGACAAACCCCAAGATGACCACTACGATTCAACATGATCTTCTTATTTTCTTTGGCTTCTTATAGGGAATTACTAGTGGATCCACGACAACGCAAAGTGATTCTTTGCGAGAGTGCTTTACTGCCCATGCCGGCCAAGAGAGCTATTACGAGGGCGCTGTTTAATGTGCTGCAAGTGAGCAAAAAAATCGTACTTAGATGTGACTGATGGTATTCTCACCCTATTCAATGATTTCTTTCCTAAAGGTCCCTGCAGTCACATTCCTATCATCAAGCTGGAGCGCCTTGATATCATGTGGGAAGCAAACAGGACTCGTTGTGGATGTTGGATATCATGAGGCTACAGTCCAAGCGGTATCTATCCCTACTCCCTGCTCGCTTATTGTTCTCGTATGCCAACACCGTCACCACACCAGGTCTACGACGGACGCCCCATCCTCCACTCAATCAAATCAATACCGCACGGAGGACACGCTCTAACAGCCCGTCTCGCAGACCTCATATTCTCAAACACGTCTGACCTCATCATCAACAACCAGCCTGTCGAGCTTAATCCTGACTCATCGTATACTATCTGTCCGTTGCAAATGTGGGAGGATTTGAAAGCTCGTTATCTTCATGTGAGGCCTATTGGTGTATCGACGACGTCTATTCAAGATGATTGGGAGCAACAGAAACCTGTTGTGTATGGATATGAGAATATTCGAGTGACATTCCCGTCGTGGGTTTGTGAGTCTGCTTGTGAGGTCTTGTTTGAGAAGGATGATGATGGGATGTGTGTCGCTGGGATTATGTTGGACGCTTTGATGAATGTAGGCATATTTGATCTGTATTGAGTGGCTGATTTTTGCTATCTGGGGTCATCGCAGAAAGCTGTGGCAATTATAAGCATCCAGGTGTTTCTTCTGGATTTGCTGAACCATTTTCTTGCTTTGACTGTAGTGTCCATCAGATACACGAACAGAACTCCTCCAAAATATAGTCATTACCGGAGGAACATCATGCATACACGGTTTCTCGTATCGTCTATATCATGATCTGATACGGAAAATGAAAGAGTCAAAGAGATGGAAGGAATTGGAGTTTGAATCCAAAGTAAAATTCTTGAAACCAGTGTTTCCTGCTAGTGTTTTACCTTGGGTTGGAGGTAAGAGAAAAAAAACACGACAAATTGTGTCATGAATGTTACTAACTTTTCAGCATTCTGATAGCATCACTTGTTGGATCACTCAAACTGCCCTTTGTCGAAGTGAATAGAACCGAATATGTCAAAGATCCTGTTGCGATGATACCGGATTGGAGTCTGATAACACAGGCTGCTTGAGATGTAAAAACTGTTACTACTTGTTTAACATTCAGTGCTCTATAAACTTTGCATATCCTCGTCATTCAACCAGGCATCTTTTCTTTCTGTTGATTTCCTCGTTGTGTATTGATGCTACAAATCGTTCCGAACGAGAGGGATCAGATTGCTCAAACTGTCATTTCATGAATACCTCTCACCTTGCACGTCTCCATCAGAAATCATCGTCATCATCGGATTTAAGGTTGGAGCAAAACCCCCGACCCAATACAATGTGACTTCTTGATCTGGAACGATTACTGAATCTATCTTGCTTGCTTCAAACAGGTCAATAAAGCATTTTCTTCATTAAAGAGGGTAAGTCTAGACGCGTCGTTTCGCGTTAGAGTTCACATTTAAAAGGATTCGCGGCTCCTTGAACAAAAAGTGTCTTGATTTGTTAATTGTTACATCCAATCTGGTATTTTTGTCACTGGTAAAGGTTACCAAGACCATCAAGCTCTGCGATGATTACGAGCCATACTTCAGGAGGGAAGCAGTTCTTGAGGGAAGATGGTAACTCCACGTTGAGGTCTGATTTCGACGGGTTTGACTCTACGGGTAGCTTTGACGAGCTTCCAGCCTAATTAGAGGGATCCGATATGCCAAATAATGATGATATAAGATTCTTCTTGAACATATCTATTTAGTAAATGCGGAAAATAGCAAACGAACACGATAAAACTTCATCACGAGTAGCAATAGAGGAGACTTAAGGGGGCATATTGAATACGACATACAGCACCTTCGAATTGAGACCAAAATGACCCTAGCAGCGAGTTTCCTTCGAGGTTCCGGCTGAGAACAGAGCGCAGATTGAACCGACCTTAACCAACGCGACATTCAAGATGGAAATAATTATTATTCGTGGCAAGATGCGCATCACGCGTTCCTACATCACGCTGTTATTGCTACTTGAAAGGATAATACTCAGGAACCGCTGATTTAAAACCGATTTCCAGGTTTCCCCTGTGTATAGCTATGGACGTACTTCATAAGCTATTCAAACATGTGGACAATATGCAAGAATTCTTATTGCAGTGTGAGATCAGCTCCACGTACAATCCATCATCAAATTCGACACAAACCGGCTTCTTGATTCATGGCGACTATGCATTCAATACCTTCATGGAGACCACTCTAGTCTGTTCAAATGAGGTTCCCGGAAGTCCGCCTGCCATCTCCTCGATACGATCTACTCAAACTGAGGTAAGAACTACTCGACATTTGACATTTGAAGCTTGACAAGCTTCGCAGAGCTTTATGTCATCGGAGTCATCGGAGAAATAAGCTCACTTTAAATCATACATAGGTCGTTAGACGAGTTATTGACAAGTGCAAGACTCACAAGAAGTACTGCAAGCGCATCCTGTGTCTGGGACAACATAAGGTCTGTTGTTGTGACATTAAATGTATAATTACGTATACTCAATCGCAGGACCTCCCATTGAGCACGGTTAGAACTTTCCTAATACCATGATCAAGAGTATCAAGTCGTCTATTTGGTTGAAGCTACTATCTATGTAAGGGGGTTTTTTACGTTTGGAGTTCGTATTCGTCTAACTGACCAAATCCATAGTATTGGAGACGAGATGATGGTTCATTTACTCTTTCATTACTCTATCTTTACACTGCTGCCAAATTCATGCTACTTGCAAGTGTCTGGTAACGTGGCCCTTATGAACAGAATTTGTCCTTTTCGGCTCATAAGGTCAATACATTTGCTTCTTAGGGGTTTCCATATCTGATAGTGAACCGTTAGAACTGGCAGATAGTCGACTCTTCGCTCCCTTTCCGCCAAATATGGAATTCACAACAACACCCAACAAGAAACGTAAACGAGATGCTCAATTACCTAAAGCACAAGACTCCACGGACATTGACCAGGACGAGACGCTGCCAGCAAAGAAGAAGCGAATTCGTCGCTTCAAACGCAAAGTCAAACCTTTACCTGACTCAACCAAAACGGACTTGGACGACCCAGACGTCGATGGCAGAATGGACCTGGACGATCCGGAAGCCAAAACTATAATACCACCGCCAGTAGCATCGCACCTAGTGGTGCCAGTTGCCCCAGCACCAGCACTTGAGAAAAATCGATCGAATGAAAGTAGAGCTGAAAGCAAGGACGAAGGAAAAGATGGAGATTTGGGGTTCAAGTGAGTGCTTGCTTAACGCATTTTCCTGTGACAGTTTTAAGCTTAACTTTGTTTGAGCACATCAAGCACGAGCATCATTCTAAATAGACGTCGTGTCTTATATTCTCGACCTTTCCATGGAGTAAAAAACGAGGTGTTGGTTGGGCTACCCAAGATTCGTATGTCGATGCAAATATGTAACATGCACGTTTTGGGCATGTCGAGATTCGCGCATTTTTAACATTCCCTCTCTCGCTAGATGTTTTGAGTCTCTACAGACTTCAAATATTACGAAAAGACCAACCAAGAACTCCAACTCAAAAGCCATGGCCTACAATCACAGCGCAGACGATTCTTGCATACATCTTCCCACGTCAGTATGGTCTGGAGCACATATTCAAGAAGGATTCTCAGAAATCTTTTGGAAGGCCAATTCCTCCTGATTATACTGTTCGATATAATGCTGATCATTTTCATGATGTAAGGGTTGGAATTGGTAAATCATCCTTATATCAAGGCACTGATCCATGAAGCTTTTTTTCCAGAAACCAGTGCCAAAGCGCCTAAGGAAGGCCTTTGAGTTGGTCCAACAAATGATTCGACTGCATAGTACATGCAATTTTAAGGCTCTATACAACAAGCATTGTCCCGCACCTGTACGTGTTTCGCGCTGAACTCAACAGTGGAGATAAAAACGCTTCAAAATATGTCTTTTCTTTTGGCTTTAGACTGACTTGCCGGGATCAACTCCGTTGCCGGGACGAGATTACATGAGATGGACTAGTCCATTCTTCAATGTCTCTGGATTCGTCAAGGCTGTAGTTCGGCGTGTTATACCGAAGAAATTCCTCTCGACTACCCATAACACTATGGTCGTTTTCAAAGGTTAGTCAGTGCCGGTGTGTTGGATTAGTGTAAAGAAGCTGATCAAGGAACTGACTAAACCTCGTAGCTATTGATCGCTTTGTGCGGCTACGGAAATCAGAAGACATGACTCTACAACACGCGATAGATGAATTCAAGGTACCTATCGTTAAACGAGGACGCTTGTGTCTGGTTTTACATCAATCTCATTGGTATCCTTCTTAGATGTCGGATTGTGAATGGCTCGTACCTCTTGGATTTCAACAAGGACAGCACATCCCTCTGTCGGATACTTTGAAAAGGAGACAGCTACTAGAAGACTTTACGTTCTGGCTCTTTGATGGATTTATCATTCCCTTGATCAAGGTAATGTTCGGTAGCGAACCGTTGCTGTATCAGGAACTTTCGCAGTGAATTCTGAGTCTTCTTTTTGGCTTCTAGACTAGCTTTTATGTGACTGACACGACGGTATATCGTAATCGTATTGTGTACTTCCGAAGTGATATCTGGAAGCTCTGCTGTTTCCACATATTTGAGTCACTTGGTACTTCTACTTACAAGAAGATCTCTGAGGTAACAAGAAAACCCCGATGAGACGAATACATTATGACACCAAAAGGTACAACAGTAGCTGTTCAACTGACTAAAATGTCCAAATTATTCTTAGAAACAAGCAAAACGTACAGAGAACGAATCTCAGTTCCGTGTTTCTCGTGTGAGACTTGTGCCTAAAAAGAATGGGCTACGGCCCATTTTGAATCTTAGGCGCAGATTCAGTGTTATGTCAAAGGTATGCCACCTGATGAGTCCTGGCCTTCATTGTCAAGCACACCTATTTCCTTCAACGTCATTATCACATTACAGGAGGAACGCGAAGATGAGGATGAGTTAAAGAAGAAGGAAGATCAGAAACATGGGCCTCCCAAACCTACACTCAAAGATCCAAGTACGGACAAGGAAAACCCTAAAGAAAAGTACACGGTGATTACAACTACCAACAAGATCTTGAAGGATGCTATGCATATATTGAATTACGAGAAGGTGCTTTATTGTTTGAATTTCATGCAGTTTTTTTGCTACCTTCACCTGGCTGATTTCAACCACTTGCAATATCATTCCCCAGGGTAACAACCCTCAACTGATGGGCGGTGCAGTGGCAAGCCTTACTGACATATACTTGAAACTCAAGACATTCGCAAATGCTCTTCAAGCACAATCGTCAAATGGTGATTTGCCAAAGTTGTATTTTGTCAAGGTGGATATTACAGCAGCGTTTGATTCTATCAAGCATGATAAGCTATTGGAAGTGTTGAATGATGTGTTTACAGATGTATGTAACTTCGTGTTCCTACTACTGGAGAAGGGTTCTTTTGTTGACGATTCTGTATGCTGATCTGATTAGGAGGACTACTTTATTGTGAAGTACTTCTTGGCTTCAGCCGTAGATGGAAAATACTCAAGAAAGTGGCCCAAGAAGGCGTTTCCTGGAAGTGAGCTTGAAAGCGCGAGAGATCTTACTTTGATATGCCCACATGAAAACCATTCCATTTTTTCTCCTTAGGCGCAAACGTTCATTTTGCTGCTCTTGCAAATGATATGGCCAAAGATATGAAGAAGACCCTTGTCGCTGATACTGTATGTTGTGCTGAGCGGATTTGTGAGATTTGGGCGATTGCAAAAAGGTCATTTTGGCTGTTATGTTAGGTTGTTTATGATCGGTATGAAAAGGATGACATTTGGCAGATGCTTGAAGAGCACATCACAACAAATCTCGTCAAGGTACTGATCGAGAGAGTGATGTCGCTGTCCGTCAACAGATTTCTGAATACAACTTTAACTCAAACCAGGTTGGAAGACAAACATATCGTCAACGACAAGGAATCCCACAAGGATCAGTAGTGTCTGCATTGCTTTGCAGGTAGATTGCAAAACACTGTGGTTTTTTCGTCAGTTGATTCCGAAAACCATTCCATCAATTCCAAACACATTAGCCTGTACTATGGCCATTTGGAGCAAGCCGAACTATCATTCACGAATCAAGGCAACGATGGTCTATTGCTTCATTACGTGGATGATTTCATTTATATGACATCCAATCGTGAGAAAGCTGAACGATTTCTGCAGGTCATGACTCGAGGGTTGCCCGAGTATAGTGCTGCAGTGTCTCCTCACAAAACCATGACGAATTTCCCTGTCGAGGTGAATGGATTTGAGATGCGAGAGATTGATGGTGATGGTATGTGTCCTTGTGAAGTGCAATATTCATGATAATTGTATCAGATTTTTTGCCTCCTAGATTTCCCGTGGTGTGGCCATTTGATCAATACCCGTACTTTGGGTGTTACTGCCGATTACTCAAAGATGGTTCGAGAACGTGAGTGAGGTCATTTTCTCTCTCAGGATACTAACAAAAAAACCACACTAAGGGTCAGCATTGCTCATTTATGAACATAGAATTTCGAGAATCCTTGGGAGTAGACTACTTGAGGCACCAAGGCCAAGCACTCCGACGTAAAGTTTCTGCATACATGAAACCCAAATGTCATGCCCTCTACTTTGATACATCACTTGCCAAGTCACCTCATGTAGTGGCTGGATTGGACGCTGGGAGATTCACCGTGCTGCTCAATATCTATCAGAGTATGCGCATGTGTGCCATGAGATTTCGTATGTATATCAAGCAACTGGAAAATTCGAGCATGAAGAGTGTGAAAGTGGGACAAGTTGTTTTGAGTGCTATGCAAGAGAAGGTTGAGAAAGTGAAGGTCGCTAAGCGGGAGGAATTTCTTTCAAGTGAGTAGGCGCACATGAGATTTTTTTGTTTTTCGATGGATATGTAGGCAAAAAAGGATGACGAACATATTAATAGGTACGATCCATGGCTGTATACGTCTCATGAACAGATTCGTGAAGGGTCGAACCAAGACAACCGTAGCCCAAAAGATCAATTGTGAATGTCGTGTTGATGCCAAGGAAGTGTATTGGTATGTTTGTTGTTGGCGAACAAATTATTTCCGGTCTGAACATCTCTTGGTTTTGCTGAGTACAGGTTGGGACTGCAGGCATTCTACATTACTTTGAAATCCAAACAGACTGAACATTCACGTATAGTACAAGATTTGCATTCACGAGTCAATGCTAAAAAGTACTTGTTGGTGCGGAAGGCCGTGCAAGTTGTCATTACACATTCTTGTAATGACATCTTTGGACAGATGCAGTATTAACAACCGTGTATAACAACTGCAAGAAAATAGAACTTGTGACTGACTGATTTGATGCGAAAATATTAGATTTAATATGTGACGTGGATGCCAAAATCCTTCAACATGGATGGTGTATATGCACAAGATTCTACGTGTTCTAATCTCTCTAGTTGGCTTCTCCGAAATACGAGAGAGCAACATCCTCGACCTTCTTCCCCCTCATTCTAGCAATATGTTCGGGCGTCTTTTGATGTGCTAGAGCCTCAAACATTGCTTTACACACATTCATAGGGTTTCTAGATCCTCTGGTTTTGACTGCTATATCGTGGATGCCAACGCATCGACATATTTCGTGGATGTGGGGTGATGAGATCACACCAGAACCTATGGTTAGTGTGAGAGTTTGAGTTTGAGCAGCGATACCAATGCGATGCATGCAAAGCGGTGACCCATCGAGATAAAGGATCCAAATACATTGGAATCAGAGCAAAAAACAACCAATACACCGACATACCAGGTGGCAAAGGCCATATAGTCAAATTCGTAGCCTTATACTTGTATTCCGAGTTTGAAAATACCGTCCTGCCATCATATCTAGGAAAGAACTGCATATTCTTATTCGCATTCCTCGTAGCCTTTTGTACAGCAGCACCTGCATCGACAGCTCTACCAGCACCCATTCCAGCAAATCCATTATTGTTTCCTACCACCACCATGGCCCATATTTGACGTGCTTTGCCGCCGGATGTTGTACGTGCTATGCGACGGATGTGGAGGACTCGTTTCTCTGTTATTTCGATCTTGTCTTTGGTATCCTTGCTGTTTGACGTTTCGTTGCTTTGTGATGGTGAGGATGGTGAGGCATAGGATTTGGATATGGAGGGTGATGCATGTGGTGTCCGTATTATCGAGCGCCGTGCTAGGGCTGTATTGCTAAGTGAGCTTGAAAGGAGGTGTCTGGCTAGCATTTTCTGTTGGATTGTTTATTTCGGTGAAGACACGAAAAAAACATAGTGTGCTGTTGGAAGCAGGTTTTGTTTGTTGATCAAGATTGGAACTGAAGATTGAAAAGCTAATTGAATATATTTGCTTATAGATCTATCGACTTGAACGCCATCAAAACGAACCTGTGTGTTTGTGCCAGCTCATCAAAGATGGACGACATGCGTTCACGCGCAAGACACGAAGACTTGCGCTAATCAAATCAATTGCATTGCCTTCTATTGATGATTCGAAATCTTCGTTTAGACGGAGACCCGATCGACCTCAATCACACACCCTGTCTCAAAGGAGGTTTATGACAGTTGGTTCCAAGTTAGCGTTTAATTCGCCGATCGACCCTCTCCAAATCCTCAAAGTAACTTGATAACCTTGAAGTTTTCTTTGCATGAAAGCACTTGCTCCAGAATCGTTCCCCTTGCCGGCTTTAATCAACTAAGCTAGACAAACAACCTGAAAGGCTTGATCTCTTCTCCCACCTCCACTGCTTGAGATGGCTGACAAGAGAGCCAGTAGTGTCGAAAAGGGACACACACAAGAGTCGGAAGAATTGGTGCACACATACTTCACGGACCGTGTCAAGACGATTCTCTTTTCGGTCTTCTTTTATTCAGTATGTGTCTCGATACACGTTTATGGTACTCAAGGATTTTCAAAACTCACAAGTTGTATCTTATAGGTTTTTGGCAATGGTGACTCCTTTGTAGTTTTACACACACAATTCTTGAAGAGCAATCTTGATTCGCTGTGAGGATGTGACTATAACAACCATCTTGATTTTTTCTAGACAATCACGAGTTGATTGGATACCTTCATTTGATCTTGGAAGACATTCAAGTCGTTCTGTTTTTCTTGACCCCTCAACTGCAACCCGTATATTGGATTCCGGATGTTGTTGCCACAGTTGTTCAGATTGACTACGCATCACTGGACATCACCAAATTCAGGTATTTTCTGTTTTGAATACTCCCGATTGGACAGTCAGTTCGTGTTAAACTTGTGTTAATCCCTCAATTTTTTCTTAATTTTTTACAGCATCGTATTCGGTGTTGCTGTCGGCTTGATATGCTTCATGGTGACTATTTGTCGTTTAAGACACAGACTTGCTGATCATAAAGATTTCAATCGATTTCCAAGAACATGAGAATATGATTCTAACGCTCTGTTCATTTTCACAGTTTTCCATGGTCGCAGTGGTTGGATGGGGTTTCATTCGAGGACAACACAAAGTCATTTGGCCCATCAAGGCTCTAAGAGCTTGTGCCGGATACATCCCAAACGTTCTCTTTTTTACAATTTGCGAGATATTGATCACTGCTCTTCCTTGCTCGCGATCTTGGTGGTATGTTCATTCAGTTGAATCAACCAATATTATTTGGACGCTACATGGACACTATAATCACATTACTCACCTGCCCTCATTCAGGCCAGAGTTCGCCCACGAAGCCGCAGCCGGTACCTTAATTGGGACCGCGTGTACGGCAAACAGTCGGGTGGCATTGATGACGACATCCATCATCATCCTGGTACTGTTTGTTCCCTTCGTGTGGGTACTATCTTTGGTATATATTGATGTAGACCCAACACACAAGACGGTACTTTCCAAGGTGAGTTCTGAATAGTGATACTATTGAAATGTTTAATGGGACGGCCCTTGTGGCCGCCAACTTGCGGAAAGCATATTCTCTGACCACTTTCGTTCGAAGGTTCATGGTAGAATGGACATGATATACTCAATGTCCAAGTTCGTGATGCTTTTGGTTTGGAACTTTGCGGAGCCGTCAGACTTCATTCTGAAAGTTGGGCTTGCCACTTTACTGCCAACAATCGTCTTTTTCGGATCATGTATATAGTTTTGCGAACCAGTTTTGCTCAACGCTCTTGCAGCTAAAATCCGTCTTGTTTAGTGTACTACATGCCCTTCTACAATCAAATATTCAACAACATTCGAGCTGGATTAATGCTTGGGGCAATGTCAGTCGGAGCCATTTCATTATCCTGTACTGTGATTTATAACTTTCAACGAGAAATGCTTCCGATGGCTGTATTCATTGTCATCGTGACAGTCTACCCCATCGCATGCAGCATCGGGTTCTACCTCTCACAATGGCGATTCGACAGCATTCAACGAGAATCCCGTATCCGACTCTCTCTTTTACTCGAGGGAGGGGAGGATATTGGGCAAGTCAAGAAATTGGTCTTTGGATCCAGTGTCAATGTTGAACATGTCGCGAGATTTGCTACAAAGGACATGAATGATCGACTTTATCAGTCTGACCCCACGACATTTGACGAATTGGTAATGCGTTCGGCATTTATCCCACAATTAGACCCGTGGACTGATGCAAGGTTCTTTGCTAGATGAACGTCTTCCGTCGTGGATGTATTGAATTCCCTAAAGACACTTTGGTACTCAGCGCCATGGCTAGTTATTACTTTCACTTGACGATTGAAGAAGGTCGTCACAAAAGAAGGGTAGCAAGTGTAGAAGCTCTTTCTCCGCCGTTCGATATATCGTTCCAAGTATACTTTCTCAATCAAGTCTCCAGTCAAGGAAAAGAACTCGATGGCCTTGGGTCCTCTCTCAACTTGGATGTCGCTGGTATCGCTGAATTTAAAAAGCTGAACTAGTAAGTAGTTCACACTACTTTCTTCTTTGGCTTTCAACTGACTCACACGCAATCTAGTGAGGCAAAATACAATCACGTCCTTGCCGCCGGATATCAGCGAGAACTCTTTTCCCAATTGAAAGATCCCAATGTCACACCACAACAGGTACAATGGACATTTTCTTCTCAAACGATGAAAAATATTAATACAAATTTCGATTTTGCCTTGTAGCTTGAAATGGTCGCTGTTGCTCTTCAAAACTCTACCAAATGTGCAAACGCCGCTTATTTGAAGCTCGTTACGAGATTTCCACGCTCTACGGAGTTCCTACGATTTTACGCCAAGTTTTTGTTTGAAGTCGTTAGTGACGCAGGCAGAGGACGAGCCCTGATTAGCAAGGCTGATGCCATGGAGGTAGTTACGTGACTCCACAAAATAAAGGGCCCGGAATCATAACTAATTATGCATGTCTTGCTCTACTTTTTCGTAGGCCATGTATACGAGTCGAAGTACAAAGTGAGTAACCTGCTCTTGCGTCAACTTCTTTCTCTTCGTGACAATCAGCTTATTACTTATTAATTTCAAACAGATTTCTGGCAGACAATGCCCGTCAATCTTCCTCACCAGAGAGCGAAGGCCCAGGAGATATAAGTTCTGACTGTGCCGGATCTTTGCATTCTATCCAAGCATACCGCAGGGATTCTCTGCAGCAACGAAGGGATTCTTTGCCAAAACGCAGGGATTCTTTGCCACACCGCAGAGATTCTCTGGTCGCTGGCCAGCCGATCGGCGATGGAGACAAAACGGCCAGAGCTGCATCATCTATTGGCGACCCAAGTTCTCAAGAAGCAAAGATGTATCAACGTATGATGAGCATTCGTGAAGGCTTGGTTAATCGCAACTCTAAGCATACCTGGATTATTGTCATTTCTGGTATTACGACTGCATCTATTGCTATGAGTGCTGCTATTGCCAACTTTATTGTGTCGAATCAATTACTTCAGACAAGTAAGCCATCCTTGTCGCTCAAACTGCTCCCTCAGTGTACTTATAGCAAAAACTTCTCGTGTGATAGCCACTATCTCTCTACAAACTTTGAGCTCGTAAGTGACTTCCATTCTGCGATGCGTTGAAACTGTCACCATTGACACCACTACTATTTTAGTATTCACGTGTGGTCTCAAATGAGCAGTACAGCTTTCAGAAGAGCCAGACAGTTACAGTCTGCTCACACCGCTAGCAACCAAAATCTCTTTTCCGCCTTGCAAACCCAATTTGCTGACGAAATGGACCAATTTCGTCAAGCAAATCAGTATGCTTATGAGAATCGAGACACTTGGAATTGTGAGTTTTCATTCAACTGGAATCGCTGCTTTTTTTTTGGCAAAGTTTACTACCCTGTTTCATCCAACAGCTGCTATCCAGGCTATTTATACTACACGAATGGTGCCCGTTAATCTGTCGTATTACCCCGAAGTCGCGTAAGTCACAACCTGATCTCGTTTCTCGTTAGATTTTGCAGCACTTTATAACTGACATTCGATCTTCGTTCGTTCAAGTCTAACTCAATCAGTCAATCTCACCCTCTACGAAACCATAAATATGTTTGCAAACTCGGGCATGTACTTGGCCACGCTTCCTTTCTCGGACTCTCAATGGAGCACTCTCGGCCACGTGTCTCAATTCCGATTCATCGCCGACAATTGGGTCGGCATCCAAAACGGAGCTTACGCACACCTCAAAAATGATCTGTTCTTTGGCGACTATGATTCCTACACATCCAGTGCAACTCGAGCCATGATTGGCCTTGTCTGTTGTTTCATTGGAGCTGTGTGTACTGCTGTTGCAATCATGGATACACGACTGACTGTTTATACTGGTGAACAAAAGGACGCGCTCAAAGTGCTGATGAAGATTCCTAAACGAATTGTCTCTGATGTCTTGCAAGACATGACAGAAGAGCATGATTCAGAAGGGCTGTTTAGTGAGGCTTTGGAGGAGAAGGCGAGAAATTATATTTCCTCGCAACGTGCTGGTGGTACTCATTTCATTGTGTTGAGATTGAGGATTGAGTATGTCTTGTACAAGGTTGCTTTGATTTCTGTTGCTATTTGTCTTGCTATTGCAAATGTAAGTATATTGTCAAAGGATGGTTTTATTTGAGCTTTTAGACCTCAAAACTGACAATATGGGAACATTTTTGGAAATCAGATCAATGCAATTACCCAAATCGGTCGATATTTTGGTATGCTCCAACCCAAGTTGATGTTTTACACACTAGCATATGAAGGACTCACAAACATTTCACTCTGATAGCTTTGGAAGATCAATTCGCGTCTCTTCTGTCTTACAGCATCAG